AAGTTACTTTATATCGTTGCGGGCATATAGTAGCAACATGTCCAGAAATATCACATATTTGGCAAACAACGTTGTCTTCATTTTTAGGCAATGGAATGTCTTGGGGGATTGCAATATGATTCCTTGATGTTGTCAACTTCTCTTCCTTAGAGGACTCCGAGATGGACAATCCCATAATGATTCAGGAGTATCCTCAACAATTCCTATGTAAATTAACATAAAATTAATATGTTAGTAAATGTTATGCATCAACATGAAATAAAAAATTATGAGAGGGAAAAGGAAAAAAAAATTATACCATCATATTGGCTGTCAATGTATGGTTGACTGTCCAATTGGCTGTCAAAATAGGGTTGATTGTCTATTTGGTTGTCAAAATAGGGTTGACTGTCCATTTGACTGTCAAAGTAGGATTGACTGTCCATTTTACTCTCAAAGTAATCTTAACTGTTCATTTTGCTTTAAAAATAATCTTGACTATCTATTTAGCACATAATAACTTTATAATCAACTAATTAATTAAATTAATCATAGTTTACTTAGTAATTAAATATGTAATTATGATTTAATTAATTAATCAACTATAATCATTATAATTAATTATGATTTAACTAACAATGTAATTAATTATAATTTACTCCACAATTAAAGCATTTAATCATAATTCTCTACTCAATCAATTAATTAATTAAAAAATCAATATTTATCAATCAAGTAAATATTCTTTTCATAATTTTATAATGTATTTGATATATAAAAATTCAATATAAATATCATTTTAGTTCAATAATAATGCTAATCTCAATATCAATTTCTTAATCAAGCTAATTTGAAATAAATAACAAATTGACAACCATAAAAACTCAACATAAATATCACTCTACTTCAATAACCATAGATATTTAAACATCAATTTCAATATCAATCTCAACCTTAACCTGAAACATAATAATTCAAAATTTCTAACTTTGTATATACAAGTTTACTAAAAACAACTGTTCAACTAAGTACAAATCTCAATCTCAAAAACTTGAAAAAAAATAATTGTAATTCACTGATAATTCTAGCAATAATCTATACTAATCTACAAATAATAAAATAGTATATTTATGTAAAAAAAAAAACCACAAAAATCCCAATTACCTCTGCAGTGGGGAAGTTGATGCTGCAAGGACCAATAAAAGCTGGATTTCAACCTACAAAAAACGAAAAATGGGGTATTGTTAACCCAAATATCCAAGGAAAAAACAAGTAAAACCAAAAAAAAAAAAGAAAAAACTTGTGCTGCAACTTCCAAGAAACCTCCTCCACGTGGTGTGGTTGCTTAGAGATGCTGGAGGCTGAACCAAAAGGCAAGGATCAACAAGGAACAATGCAATGTGTCGACTGTAAATTAATCCAAGGAAAATAAATGCAAAAATAAATCAATCAATTGACCGAGAGAGGGGCGAACTCACCGGCACCAGTGTGGAGCGGAGAACAGGGGGCGTTATGGAAGAACAGTGACAGCAAGCTTCGTTGGAGAAGAAACCAGATCTACCGCCGCAGAGAGGGAAAAGCAGAAATGGGGAAGAAAGGAGAGGTTCGGGTGATATGAACGAGTATATTCGATAGCCAAAGCTGTCGAATATACAGAGGAAACGATGTCGTTAATGTTGCCATACATATTCGACAAAAAATTTCTGACGAATAAACACATTCGTCAGAAATTTTCTGTTGAATATCTTTATATATTCAACAAAAAAGTTGTCGAATATGAAGATTGTCGATTAAACAAGAAGTTTCCATTATCATCGTCAATTTTACATCTTCGTCAATCTTTCTGTCGGTTATGTAGACATTTTCGACAGAGATATGGCTGTCGAATATAATATTGTCGCATATGCCGCGTTTTCCAGTAGTGTTATGAGTTGAGTAGAATTTGAAATTAAAGAAAAATGAAAATTTATTTGACTTATAATTATGATTAATTATCATTGTAAAATAATCTAATTAAATTTAAAAATATGACAATAAACCCATCTTAAGGATGTTAGTTACACTCAGTATATTCAATCCAGCCATGATCAGCTCAAATGCATTTTTTTCTTTTAAAAAAATTTAAAAATTATTAAAAGGGGGGGGTTGACTGCAAGGTAAGGATCAAAGTAATGATAAGCTGATTGATCAAAATAAAAAAAGAGTGAGTTGCAACTTAGCAGTTCTTGTCAAAGATTGGTCAAAGAAATGATAAGCTGATTGATCAAAATAAAAAAGGGTAGGCTGTAACTTAGCTGTTTCTAGCCAGGATTTATAGAATCTACCATGCAAATCGACAACTCAACAAGGATCACTACTAGAAAACATAAAATCACTTACCAAAAATCACCGATGTAAGATGATTAGTAGGTGAATTAATAATTTATCGACAAAAAAAAAGTCTGTAAAGTGAGAAATAATAGCATTAAAATTAATTTATGTCATTTTATTTTCAGAGGAGGACTTTGTCGATAAATTTAGACAATACACACGTATCTTTTGTCAGTAAGACATATAAATATTCTTTCCCCCAGTTCCAGTAGCTTTTCTAGTGCAGTGGATAAAGAGTTTAGACACCGATGATGGTTTCGTCGGTAACTTCAAGATCATGCAACAGCAACCTTGTCGATAAGTTGCAAAGATCTTGGTAATATCTACTCAGGCAGCATTTTAGGTGAGTGAGCAGAAAATCCTATGGCCTATGTCGGTGAAGTTACTGGTGCAGTCACTCTGCAGAAGGTGGTGCAGAGCAACGGTAAGTGCAATTTGTTTAATATTATTATTTTTTATATGTTTTTACATTGAATTTAATTATTTTATGTATATATTATTTTTTTAGAATTTAAATTATAAAATATTGTGATTTGTTCATTTGATATTAACATGATCAAATTTATTGTTTTAGATAAATTATATATATAGATGTTTGTTAATAATTTTTCAGTAATTTTTTTGTTAAAATTCTAGTGTGAAATTTTAATATTATAATAATTATTTGATGGCAGTAAAAAATTCATCTTTCAACTTCCCACCATGCATTTGCCGGTAAATGATGGCAGGACTCTCAAAATTTTTGGTTCTTAGCTTTCAACAATCACCTTGTCAGTGAAAAATAAAGCGAGAACACAAAATTTTCAGATATTTTTGCTTTCGCGTCAAATTTTATAGAACCTATGTCTCTTACGTCGGTAAAATGAATACCAAAAAAGTACACATAGGTAAGAGGCTCTATATATTCCCAGAACTACCCAACCCTCTCATTTTGTTTTCGTCTTCTTCTTCTTCTTTCTTCTTCTCCCTTATATGTCTCTCCTTCTTTCCATTAAAATGTTGCTCACTTATATGTCTTTGAAATTCCAAGATGCTGTTGATGGGGCTTGGGTTCATTCAATTGGATTCCCAAAAACTATGATTGTGGTAGATAGGCAGCATCCTCAATTGATAGGGGTGGGCAAATCGAGATCGACGCACTTCTTTGATGGGTGCCAAACGGAGGTGGACATGATCGATGATCGATGGAGCTTGGGTTCACTCAATTGGGTTGATTTTTGCCATGGTGACCTTCAAATTCCCTTCAAGGTGACCTTCAAGACTTGCATTCGACTGGAATGAAGGCGAAGAAGAGCCTTTGGTTCACTGGAGGAGCATTTCCTTCTATGTCACTATATTCGGATATAACCAATAGATTTCTTTTAGACAAGCATAGAATAACCCTTATCCCCATTTTATGTTTATTTTTTTCATTGAACCGCTTGTGTGTAGAGAGGTGTATGGGTTCATTGTGTAAACATAGCATTTAACAGAAATAATATAAATTTCTTTTACAAATTGGTAACCTAGTTTTCCAATTAAGTTTTGTTAGTAAATTAAAATTTGGTTCAGACCACAGTTTCTTCGGAGATAATTTTTAGATGTAAATTATTAATTATTTTGCAAATTGCTAATTTAAGTTTCAGATAAAGTTCTTGTCGGTAAATGAATGTCTAGGTCTCAATTGTACTTTTGTCAATGAATATTTATAGAGATATATTTTGTCGGTAATTTACCAATGTGACTGACTTAAAATGAGCTCCGACAATACGGTTCCAGTAGTCAATTAAAGACATGCTTTTTGTCAGTAATTTGAAGGAAGTTACTGACATGAGTTTAAATCACGTCGGTGAATTAATTACCGAGCAAGCTTACACCGATGCGACTATCACTGACATGATTCTTGTTGAAAATGTTTTTTGCTGACAAGCTCCCCTTTGTTTTCCGACATGACTTCTTCTCGGTGATGCTGTGAATTCTAGTAGTGGATATGTTTGAGAATTAAAATTTGTATTTAGAGGATGTATTATATATATATATTTAAACTACATATAATTTAAA